TAGAGTAGAGTAGAGTAGAGTAGAGTAGAGTAGAGTAGAGTAGAGTACCTGATCAAGAAATCTCATAGAAACAGAAATCTTCTGGAGCTTTGGGAAATAAGTTGACCCCTTCTTCTTTGTAGCAGACCCTGAAATACTGGGATACTGCTATCATGTCCCCCCTAATCCTTCTTTTCTCTAGACTAGCAATACCCAATTCCTCCAACCATTCTTCATTTGTTGTGCACCTGTTTCATAACATCTTAGACCTAACAATCGTGGATAAGAAAGACAAAAACATCTGGATACTGGACATTACAGTACCTGGAAAAATCAGAATAGCAGAGAAAGAATGGAAGAAAATCCCCAAATACAAAGGCCTGCAAATAAAAGTAGAACTGTCACAAAACAAAGCAAAAATAGTACCAATAATGATAGGCACCTTGGATGCAATCCCAAAATAATGTGGAGCACCACTTGAACATTGATGAAATCTCCATCGATCAATTGCAAAACCCAGCTTTATTTGGAAAAGGTTGCATCCAGCAATAATAAATTTTACACCATCAAGCTATGCCTGCCTATCCCAGGTCCTTGGGAAGGATTTGATGGTTAAAAATGCCAAATCCAGTCTAAGCATCTGGCTGTGTGACCAACCACAATAATATCAACCTGAATCAATCCATTTGATGAATGAAGTTCTCTTCATTGAATATTACTGGACTGTAATCTATAAATCTCATCAATATGGCCTGGAGGAAGGAGGGAAGCAGAAAGAAAAGAAAGTGTGTGTGTGTGTGTGTGTGTGTGTGTGTAAGAGAGAGAGAGAGAGAGAGACAGAGACAGAGACAGAGACAGAGACAGAGAATAGTAAAATGGAATATTTATTTTTTCAAAGTTTTATAATAGTATTTATATTTGACAGATTTCCAAACCTAGTGTTTTCTATATGTATTGGATTAAATTTCCCATCTCCCTTAGCTAACTGATGAATCTTGTAAGCAAATATATCAGGAGATGTGATAGAAGACATCATTTTAATCATTTCTAAAGGAAGAAAGAGAACTATTCTGCACCACACTGAATCTACTGCATTTCCTAATTAAAGAAACAGAAGACATGATTTGACATAATTCCATGGGTATACCTGCATTCTCTTTGGGAAGCATTTTGATGCCTAGGAAAAACTTGGTGTGACTATGGACAAATACTGACATCCTGTGACCAGGCTGGGTAAGCACAACTTCCTTCTTGATTGCTTCAACAAATACTGTAGTTGGGAGAGAAATTCTTAAAAAAAAACCTTTTTTAAAAAAGTATTCCTAAATCATGCACCCATATTTTATTTGGAAGATTGTGTGTCTAGCTCCGAGCATCATGTGTTAAGATTATTATTTTTTAAAATTAAAGAAATTGGAAGTGGGTCAGGGAGGCCAATTAGGAAAGTCAGAAAACAAGTCCTTTGAAGGATCTAAGTTCATTTAGCCTGGACCAAAGAGAGACTTAGGACAGCATTCTTGAAATAGCTGAAGGCCAAGTCTTGTTCTTTGCTGCTTCAGAGGGCATGATGAAATCCAATAGGCCAAATTCTTGGACCTCTAGAATTCAACAATACAGTCATGATATCACCCACTAAAACACTGGTACATCAGGTTGAATCAGGCAGTTGCTCATAGAAATCTATCTGTTTAAGCCCTCTTATTGTAAAACCAATCTAAGCTATACTTAAAACAAGCCATCATCTCTGCATTCTTAATTTTTCCTTAAAAACACCAACAGCAGGACTTTAATTCAAGCTTGAACAGGTGAGTATTTTTCCTTGTATCATTCAAGAAGAAAACACAATGGTTATCCCTACTATGGTACCTCCTTTTCAAACTGCTTGGGGGAGGAAGAAGCCATGTTCCTCATGAAGGCAGCAGGAGGAAACCGTCGATGCTCCTTTCCCCGTTGTACCCTGATTCAAATTGATCGGCTTGCAGTTGCTAATTAAAAATGGAGAGACCAAGACATTATTGAAGGATGAACGCATGCAGTCCCTTTTGATCGTGGGTTTTAAACAGGAGTGAGGAATGCAGAGCTTTTCTAGAAGAGAGATGGCTGATCTGCAGCAACCAACGACTGCAAGTAGCAAGGCCAATGGGGAGGAATGTTAGGAGGTTGCATTTTATTAACATTTGGAAGGTCACAAGTTCTTTATGCTTCATTTAATCATTGTCTAGCTCACTGTAAATAAAATCTATATCCTTCAGATGAGGGGTTTTATCCAGCATCTGCTTCTGACATAACATCTGAAAGGGAGATAAGGACAGCAAAAGATCGATTTGTAAGAATATGCTGGAATTTATCCAGCACAAATTCTTGTGGTGGTTGTTTCTCTTGCTTGCTTGCTCTATCTGACTTTTGTTCTGTGCCAGTTCTGATAAAATTCATAATATTGTACTGTGTCTTTTTTTTTTTTTAATCCCGTGATGCAATCCAAGAATTCTGATGAGGATTGAAATGCCATTTAATTTAGAAGGCTAAAAGAAAACACTTCTGGTTCTGCTGTTATTTCTACGCTTTCCATATGCACAAGGACTGTGAGCACTCTTCAAATGAGGCAGACAATTACAGATATGTCTGCAGGGAAAGGAGGGTCAAAAAAGTCAAGATGGTGGCCTCAGCCCTGTAGTTGAAGCCCTGCCCTTTTTGTGCGTTCATGAAATATCAACACAAGTACAAAAGGGAAGAGGACTTTGTGCAATGACAACTGGCTCCTTGATTTATTTTTTTACCCTTCTCCTCCCTCAGCCTGAAGATATTGCTGGGAAATCATTCATCTGAGAGTGGGTATTAGTCTTTCAAGAACAAGATTCTTGATTGTCCCTTCAGGACTCGTTCTGAAATGGTGAAGTGCTCCTGGTGTTATTTCTCAATCTGAGGTTTTACATAGTTTTTTTTTTTTTATTTGGGGAGGGGGGGTGGAGAACAAAAGGAGAGCTATGCTAGATCAGATTAAAAGCTTATACATTCCAGCAAACTTGGGCCTGATGCCAACCAAAACCCAACTGGAATCCAACAAGCAACATATGAACTGCCACTCAGGCAGTCTTTGCTTCTAAAATCAGCACTTGCTGTCAGGATTAGTGGCCATGCTGAATCCCTGCCAACTCCTAATTTAAAAGAGCGGAGAGTTAAGTGACGGTAAAGAGCTCCAGTCAAAATATTTTACCCAATAGAACAATATGATACATGGCAGTTATAGTTCATCTGTTAAAGATGCTGGTGAAAATTTTCTTTCTATTGGGTTAAATATTTATGGGCTTTTTCCAAGTATTTGCACTGGTTCTGGTACAGGGGCAAAAATGCTCCTAGACCAATGATGGTGAACCTATGACATGCAGCTGATAGGTGACATGCGATGTCATTTTTGGTGACACAATAGGCTTCCAGACCTTCTCAAAGCCACGCAAAAGGACCCTGCTTTTGCATGGCCTCTGGAGTTTCTTAAAAAAATCACACGATAATATCTTTTCCCACTCTTTTTGGAAGCTACAAGACCACACAAATGTATCCATCAAAGTTTCCAGGGGGAAAACTTTGTGCAACTCCGAGCTGCCTCAGATTAACCTTTTTTCCCCCTGAGTGGTATCCAGGACTGGGGCAGAATGTTTATTTCACAAAGTAAACTTTAACCTTAGACTGTCTACTATTGACCTCACCCCTTTCCTAAGAGGTCTGTAGGGGGCGTGCATAAGCGCACCAACGTGCCTACCGTCCCTGTCCTATTGTTTCTTTTATTTTTCTTATATGTACTCATTTCATGTATTCATAACTATGTATATACTTATACCTATTATCTTGTAAGCAATTGACAAATCAAAATAAAATAAATAAAATAAAATAAATAAAGTATAAACAATAATGAATATTTTGGACATGTTTTTTATGTAATACATAATATCACATATGATTGGGTTACATCTTTTTAAGTAAACCAATATGTAAAAAATTGTTTCTCTTTTGTCCAGCAGCAGGATATGTATGAATTTGATTTATACCAGCAGAATCAAATTAGTCATTTTCTGAATTTTTGACGGTTTTGGCTATCACTGTCCTAGACCTTGACAAGCCAGTAAAGTATCTCTGGGAAGTAGAAGCCTGTTTTTTTAAAGATTAGTGGAGATAACATCTAACTGTGTATTTTAACATAAAAATTAAAAAAGGATAAATGTAAATCACCAAAAATAAGAGGTTATAGTACAGATCTATCAGTTTATACTGATCCAACATTTATTCCTTTATGGGCTAGTTTTTAGACATACATACCATCATGGAGACATTCTTTGATGATGGTGTTTTTTGTGTTGATTTTGGATTGATATTCATGTTTCTGTACCTATTGGCAGGAGGAGATATTGTCTCGCAGAATAAAGAAAGAAAGGATAATAAATGATCTCACTCTGGTTGCATTCAGATGGTTAGTTGCAGGAATGGAAGAGGGGGTTGTAGTTAAAAGTAGTACAAAATGTACAGGTAGAATAATTGTAGTTTAGGGTTGAACTGTGAGGTCCTTGATGCTCTCTGAACTTGGTAGCTTTCTTGCAGGTGTTTCATTACCAAACTAGGTAACTTCATCAGTGCTAGAAGAAAACCATCAATCTTAGAGAGCTCCAAGGACCTCATAATACAAAATGCATATTTGTAAATACAGCATGAGTATACACACACATACAGGGCATACATATGCAACACATACATAAGAAATACTCTTGAACTACTCTTGATGTCCTTAATGTGCCGTGTTAAGAGAACATTCAGGTGGGATGGCAACAAAATATTAGGGGCTTAACTAAACCCAAAAGTATTTGTATGTCAGGTGAGAATGCTAGCCTGTTTAGCTCAAAGAGTCTCTTTTTGTTGGCAGTTCTTCTGATTGTCCAGCCATATTTTCTCCACTTTCTGCTGCCTTGCAGATACCAGAGTGAAATGTTTCCTTAGCCTTTGGGCTTCACCACTACGCTGGATCATATTCCCTAATTAAGAAGTATCTGAATGAAACCTACCTGTGCAAAAGGGCAGCAAGGTAGACTGGAAATGGATAGAGAAATCCTTACACAAGACAATCCCAGTAATCATCTAGGGACTTCTTGCTATAATTGAAGCCAGAGCTGGAAAGTGGAAGCTTTCTTTTTTTCCAACATGTTCCAAGAAACTCAGCCATGTGTTTGAGAAGAGCTGATAGAGAGATGGCTTAGGGAGGACAATGGAGTTACACACTGCTAGTATGTAGTGGCACAAAGGTTTGAGGAAAAATAGTTCACAAGCCCTGGAATATGCAATATTCAGGGCTTGCCATCTTTCATCTGTTTCTTCCCGATAGGAAGGAGCTACAATCTCCTCATTCACTGAAGATGCCCAGATCTAAGAAATATGGGAATTACAATTCTAACTTTTCCAAGACTATTGCTTGAAGCAACCATAGAGGAAACTGCCTTGTGTTTAATCAGACCATTTAGCCCTGTATTGGCTATTGGCAGTTCTTCAGAAATTCGGCCAACCTGTAGATGCCAGGGTTGAACCTGCCACTGTTTGTATGCAAAGTATGTCAACTTTCCACTGTCCTTTCCTTTGCTGACTTTGATCTTCTTTTCAGGAAGTGAAACAAGTTGAAGTGAATAAATTCTCCAAGAAAAAGATGGCTCCGGCCAGGCTGAGTCAATATTAATTAGGACTGATATGCATACCTGGAACCAATATGGATTGTGTCAGTACCTGCAGTCACCATGCACAACACGTAGGAAATGAAGAGCCTGGTTGCACAAGAATAAAATGAAAATTACTTTCCCGTTCTCCATTTTCTCTTAAATTGCAAATCTCTTTGCTAAAACGTTAATAGTAGGTTTATCAGGGACACTATAAATAAAAATACATCATGCTTTTAATATTTACATTTACAGAATATTTCTTGTTGTCTTTGTGTTTCTTTTTAAATCTACAATGTAATTAATACTGTAGTCCACAGACCAAAATAAAA